TTTCATTAAACCAATACATTTTACGACTTCAAAACCCCAGCAAACATAAGTTATTCTATGCAAGAAATAGATATAATACTTGTTTAAAAATATAAACTTGATTTATTCTAGTTCACATCTTCATGCTGTTTTGAAGTCGTAAAATGTATTGGTTTAATGAAAATTCATTCCAAAGTTGACATTCAAATGCCTCTTCATTTATCATTCTCTGAATGATGCTTTTCTTCAGTGCCTAATAAACTTAGTCAAATGTACCTTTATCTCCTTCTTGAGCTCTCCCTTAGATTATCTCCATTCATCAGCATCACTCATATAGGACTCGAACTTACTACTTTACCTACTCACATTATCATAAGATAGTCTCTTTGTTGGGATGCTGAATTCTTTCAAAGTTCTGTTATCAATAGTTGTCTGCTATCTAGTTTCAACTTAGATAGAGTCATCTATAAGCTACTCCTCATCTGATGACGAGCTAAGATTTAGAGTCAATGTATTTATTTATTGATTGCTTTGATATGTAGGTGAACTAACAAGTGGACTTTCCAATGGTAAAATTGACTATGTAGTTGAGAATTGCTACTGCTTTGTTTGGTGAATCTTAATTGCTTAGGATTCCTATTAGTCTTGCACTTCTTTTTGTTCTTAAGGTAGCTTTTATTAAACTGGAGACAAAACCAATGAGTTTTTGTCTGAGTTTTAAGGTGATTGAACTTTCTTGAAGTTAATTCTGTTGTCAGGGCTACTCATTGGTTGATCTCTGATCTTCAATGATTTAGACCTTGAGTAATTATTCTACAATTTATCTCTCTATGTCTGGCTTTGGTGCTTTGACTCATACCTCTTGTCCTTAAGCACTGGCTTAAAGGTACAATCCTAATTCATCTTTAAGTCTTCAACTTTTTTAGCCTCTTCAAGCTTTTTATTCTTTATATCTAGCCATTAGTTATTCCTATCCATAAACTTTAAGTTTTTTAAATTATGAAAACTATTGCCTGGTGAGCCTGTGAGACTACTAGAATTTTAAGGACTCACTGGCTTAGTCAAACATTTAAGCTTGGAGTTTTAGTCCACAAGAAATAGTAGATTCTCTCTGGTTTTTTACTAGGAAGTCATTGTATTTTAATTCCTCAGCTGCATCATAGTTTGCTCCTCTGAATGCGGTTGATAAAGATTCGAGATAGAGGGAGATTGGGTTGCGTTTTCCATAGTATCTGTCAACTTAAAAGGTGAGATTACTTGCTCAGTGTTCATTTGATTGGCTGTATTAGCTCTATCTTTTCTCTCTGAATATCTCATGTAGCTCCTCATACTTTCATGCCCTATACTCTTATTCGGGCTCTTCATCTTATAAGCGCTGCCAGAATTAATGTTAGAATTGTCAAGGATTTTATTAATAATAGCATCTTGCTGATCCTTAGTTCTTTGAAATGTCATAGTCTACTAAGTCTGAAATAGATTTTGACTTTGATTGAGATTATTGTTCTAAGTTAGGTTTGGGCTTGAAAACTAAGTCAGCATCTATCTTTGATTTAAATTGGATTGAGTAGATTCTTAAAAGAACAAATTTTTATGTGAAGCTGAGCTTTGCTTTTGCAAAATAGGGTTTCCTGGGAAATAGTTACTGTTAACATTAGTAGCATTAATTCCATTCAATATTCCGTAAATATTTGAATTGACTACTCCTGAGTTTTGCTTAGCAATACCTTGAGTCTAGGCTGATACGATAGGGACTGTACTTTAAGAGTTGAAGCTACTATTAGATTTAGATATAATGATATTTCTGCTTTTCAAAATGTCAAGAGCACTTTTCATTTCTCTTTATGCGCTTACGGTATTATGATTTGAGCTAGTATCACTAGGCTTTACATTTGACTCTGAATCCTTATCAATAGTGGTTTCAATATTTTTATCATTTTTAGAGCTTATTATGATTTGAGCTTGAGATTAATGCTAAGATTATTGGCTAGATCTGTAAGGTGATGGAAGTAGAGACTCAGTAGGAGGCTGCTTTTCCTTATCCTAATTACCTCTGTGACTCATGAATCTCTTCAAATAATCTATTTTTTTACCTTCTTACAAAACTAATTTTGTTGTATCTCCACTGCTTATAGGTATTCCAGCATCTTTGTTTGCTCTGAGAGTTATTTAGTTGCTAGAGACTTCAGATGAGGTTTATTGTTTGCTAACTTAGAATATGACTTATGATGAGAAGTTAGAGCTATGTTAATTTGTAGAAGAATTAGGGGATACAGCTGTTTCCGATGACATCATTGGCATATATCTTTGTTATTATTCCTGAGAAATCGATGGAGATATAAGCTAATTTCTATTCTCATGAATTGTATTAAGACTAACTCCCCTTGTTTATTATGTCTAAGATCTCTATGTCTACACTTTGAGCTTATTCTTAATAACCATTAGATTTGAAACAGAACTTTGAGATGATTACTATAACAAACTACTACTGTTACTTTGTCTATCACTCAAGGGTGATCCTAATTATTTATTGCTCTTTTTACTTTCAACTGATGACTTTAAATTGGATTTTGATAAATTATTCCTCTTTCTATTAGAGGCATCTCTCATTAGTCTATCAAGTACATTTTCCTTGCTGTTACTACCTCGCTTGTCCACCATTTCATGGCTTTTTTTATTTACAAATTTTTATGTTTGGTATTGCTAGAGCAATTCCTATTCTTAAAGTTATCTCTTACTATGCTCCTCATCTATGCGTCTTTAAACTTTATCCTTCCATTAGATTAAATCATCAACTTTTCTCTTTATTGACTAAGATTTCTTATTAATTTCAGGTTTACCAGTAAAGCCTTAGAGTTCTCTGTTCTCTAAAATTATTTTTCTCTATTATTCCTTTTCCCGTAATTAAGCATGATAAATTTTAAAATCAGGCAGAAATCTTGGAGGTGACTGAGATGAGGCTAATTAATGTCGCTTCGGAGATGATTTCTTATGACCTGATGAGAGTTATGATCCCTTCAAAGAATAATTGCCGTTTAAGAGTGGCTTCTAAAGTCTTTTTGTAAATGAACCAGTTGGTGAAGAGTATTGACTTTTCAATCCCATTGAATGAGTAGTAGCAGTTGTAGCCCTGTAAGTTTTTGGATAATTCTAGTATTCAAAGACTTTCTTCTCATCTTCCTTTATGATATCTGGAGAGGCCATGACAACTACAACCTTGCTTTAATTTTGAGAATTAATCTCGTTAGTTTGATTAAGGTTGGTATAGTCCATCTATTTCTAATCCATTTCTAAGTTTAGTCTCTAGGTTTTACAAAGGTTTTCTAAAATCTTTTTAGCTTTTTCCTTTTAAAGATGGTTGAAACTTTAATCACTCACGTTAATTTATTCTTTGAGTAAACCATAAGTCTAAAGTATTGTCCTATCACCCTCTAATTTAGAATCATTTGTAGATGAAGGCATATTTGAAGATTAGAATTTAGGATCAAATATTCTAGGGGAGCTTAGCACATTTAAAGTATTTCTACCAGTATCTTAACGGATCATTTACATTAGAGAAGCATATCCATTTAATAAGTTATCCTCATTTTAATTATCACTAGGAAATAGGGCTGTTCTAGTATCCTCAGCTTCTATTTTCAAATGATCAAAGTTATCTAATTAAGAGTTGTACTCCTCAAGACTAGGAAAGTTATCTGTGTTTCTTTGCTGATAATTTTAACTCTGATTGCTAGTATAAAGGATTTTTAAATTATTCTGTGGAGTGTTAAGAGTGAAACCCGAGGCACTATTATTAGAATTAAATAAATAGTTATTGCCAACTACATTGGTGCTATTGTTGCTATTATCATCACAGGATTTCTACTAACTGTTCTAGTCATTTACAAGAATAATGTTTTAGTGTGAATTCTGGTTGAAGGTAAATTAGTGGCCCCCCGGACTCTGTACCGTCAGGTTTGTCGAAATCTACTCAAACTAGTTAAATATCTTTTGAGAGACTTAACTTCCCTTCCGAGTATGTGATGTTGATAATGGGGATCTAGGACATAGGAAATCTCTAAGGTGCTAGTCAAGAGTCTTCATCTTTGATATCTATAGTGGAGAGCTCACATTCTTAGTTTGCTGTTATATTAGTTTAGTATGGGTAAAAGTAGGCTTATTCTCTTTCTTGGCACTCTTCATTGACTTCTTTTTCAATCTAATAATATTGTTTAAATTTGAATTAATTATAATAATAAGTGAAATACTTATATGTAAATTAGACTTCTTAGGTTTATTAAGCCTGTGTCTTAAGGGATTAGGTGTTAAAATAACAGGCTTTAGCTTGCTGATTTTTAATATCGCTAAACATCATAATTTATTTATTATTTAAATTCCTATTCGTTAATTAATTTATTTTACTTATACTATTTTTCCTAGATTTCTAAATTTTAATTCGATGGGGTTTTGGGGTTTTGGGGTTTTGGGG